CCAACACCCAGCCACTCAGCTATTCAAACACCGAGTTTAATTAATTAAAAGCTATTTTTAATGGAAACACCCATTGAAGCTGAATGACTAATTACATACCCCAAATATATAAGTCCTACAAAGCTTAGGAGTGTCTCTCTAGCCTTTTATAGGGAATCAAAAGAACATGGCCACCATAAGGTCCTTTAGCTGAAATGGACTCTCAGCTTCTGCTCTTTGCCCACAGCATTCCAGAGTGTTATTCCTTCCTTGGTGAAAACTTCTCAGGGTATTTCACAAGCGTTGACACTTACATAGGAATCAATGGTTTTGTGGGTAAAGCCACATCCATTCCAGGTTTCAAACACACTTTCTGTAAGCATGGGCAGATATAAGGCAGGAAAGGACAGGATATGATAGACGTTCACTGGGAAGGAAACAACCACGATGATCATGTACAGACTCTATAATTGAGCTGCATTACTTATGATTTACAAATCTGGGTGGATTTTTGTTCATTTTTTTTGCAGACAATGCTCTTTTGTCCCATGCCACTTTATCTGTCACATCCTGATTGTATGAAGATCCACACAGTGGTTTTTAGGACATCCTTTGACAGGCTCTAATTATTTCTGATCTTTTCTCTCTTGTCCAAACAAAAGATAACATATTTTATTATTTTTCTCCTTAATTGAGAATAGTGTTTTCAGAAAGCCAGATGAACTGACTGATTTTCACAAGTTATCTAGTGTGTTATTTCTTCGTGGATTGCCAAGTAAGTGGTGTCAAATTGGCTCACAGTCACTTGTGTGTAATCCCGGACTTAGAACTTTAGCTCTGCTGTTCTTTTTAACACAGGCCCCAGGGAAAACTGGCTCATTCCAACATAGATGCTTCTGATTAAAAAAAAATACCAGTAAGCCAATTTAATTGTTAAAATGTGAAGAGGAAATGACTAGTAGAAAGATTATAAAACATCTACATAAAATAATTTTTTAAAGAAAAACTTCCCCTTAAAGTAACATTTCATAAAGGAGTTAGAAAACATTATTATTTTTTCTTCATTTTCAGAGCCGAAAAACCAAGGCTCTAACTAGCTAACAATTATCTATAGTCCCTTAAAGGAAATATCAGAGCTGTGACACAGAGTTCAGTGTAGTGAGAACATAGAAACTTTAACTTCTATGACACTTAGAGAAGTCATGCAAGCTATAGTTAGGAAAACTCAGTAATAGCAACACACAGTACCAGGATACAGAGCTGATTCTATAAGACTTTAAAACGATTTAAGCTAGGAATGAGCATGGAATTGATTCATGTTTATTTTAATTGTTATGCATATTTAAGGTATATAACAGATGAGGAACATGTATATAAAGTGTTTGGTATAATGAAATGAATTAACAAATATACCACATTTTCATGATAAGAAAATCAAAGCATCGTTTGTACTGGGTGGGGAGATTTTTTGAAACAAATTTATTTTCCTATGGCAAGAGCAATTATTAAACAGAAGCCTAGAATTTAATACTTGTTTCATATGGCCTCCATGTTGTACATTAGCTCTCTGGACTTGGTTACCTTATATCTTTGCTGTTTTGGATTCTTTGTCTTGTGTCTCCCCAATTCTTCCCTGTGTCTTTACACTGGCACAGAGAGAAGCATTTTCAAAAGATTAGCTTTTTAATGTACTGGAGGAGGATAATAATTGAGGTGTTGATATAAATGGCTCAGAGTATGTGCCAAGGTTCTACACCCCACTGTGTGCATGCAAAAAACAGTTCAAATTGTCTTGAAATTTACTTGTCAGCAAGGGAACGGGACTTCATAATATCAATAGGAATTAGTTTTATATTTTTAAAATGAACTGTACCAACAATTTGTACATATATTTCTTGTTTGTAGCCTACAAAGTAGGGTTTTTCTGTCAGAGTGGTTTTTAACACTTTTCACCTTTTGGTACCAACTGAATCACAGATAGAATAATATTCATCTATTAGGGCAAATATTCATTTTGCCATTAAGTTCAGTGTCATCTATGTTGATTTTCAACTGCCAATATAAACATGAAAGGTAAGAAATATATTAGTTACTTCCATGTAACTGTGAACCAGTACCTGACATAACAACTTCAGAGAGTGAAGATTCATTTTGACTTATGGTTCAGGGAAAGTTCAATTCATCATCATGAAGTAGAAGGTTAAGTGGCAGGAACACAGGTGGTGCTTGCTCACACGATGGTGAGGGACCCAGGAGCAGAACACAAAAGGGAAATTAGGGGTGGATATAACCTTTAAAGGTCATCCCTAGTCACTTAATTTTACCAGGAAAACCCACCTTCCAAAGATTCCAAAGCTGGTTCCAATCATAACACCGAAAGCATGTATTTTCTATTTGGGCTCAACTTTGTACTCATAGAAAGAAAGGACACATTAGTCCCTGTCTACCATTAAAATCATCTGGATTTCTCCTCAACAAAAATCATTTACAGCTAATCTATTTTGTCTTGTACTGTAGCATGAGTTTCAATCTACTCAATAAATAAGAATTCATTGTTCTAGATACTCAGATAATCTTAATAAACTCAAATAATAATCACAAAACTTACTGTTAGACAAGGATTCTATTATGTCTTATTTTCAATTTTGGGATTATTCTGGAGAGAAGAAGCACTTAGGTTAATATTAGCTGTCAAAATTTCATATACATTATTTCACTTACTTAGCAAAATGAATGTCATTGAGCATTAGCCCTTTCCAGAAACATTATTTCCTTGGGAAAACTTCTGATAATAAATTTGGCTTCAATGTTGAATATTTTGAAGGTTATTGTTGCACAAAGCTAAGTTCTTTTGCACAATTATACTTTCATTTATACTACTCATATGAAATATGATTCTACAACCATTGTATTAGCAAAGTAGAGTATCAGGATTTCATAAACCAGACAAATTTATAAAATCAAAATAAAAGTCACCTTTATAATTTCCTATAGAATATCTTAGCCATGAATCAGATACTATAAAGCAGTTTTTTGTCTTTTACATTTACGGTTAGAGTTGTTGTTTTCTTGTTTTTCTGTTTAAGTACTAGGGTCCATCATATTTCTTTCAGCTTTTAATAACTAGGGATGGTAATCTTTTGTGCTTTGCCCCAGAATTATTGACATATAATGGACAAATAAAAACACATTTGTTTAATGTATACAAACCTGTTTGTGTTTAATTCATACGCATGATAGAGCTTGTCCTGAAGAATATTAATAGACTATTTTATGTGACAAATAATAACATGTTAAAGGCAACTCATTTGGGATAACTTGAAAGTAACATAAAGGTTATGCTAGTAAAGGTGTAATGCTGTTTCCTCTTCCTCCATCAAGTCTTTATTAAAAATATATTGTACATACATACTTCTACAAATAATGTTAATTAAAGTAGGGAACCACAATTAAAGAATCCACAGAGACAATAGCAAATGCAAAACTCTGCAAATTGACTAAATTATTACATTAATATGTAGACATCACAGCTATAGAAACACAATTTAGAATAACTTAGGAAAACTGTGTAAACTTACTTCCTAAGGACTTAAATCACTTTATGTGTTAACAAAGGGAGGAAGCAGAAGCATACCCCAGATTATATGGTTTTTATTACATAGGAAAGGCATATACGTATACATACATACATGAAATGTGTACATGTATGCTCTTGTATTTATATACAGAGAGAAATAAAACATACAATTGACACCTTTATTATTGTAAAAGTTTTTTCTAGTATTTAGACATGATTATACATTCTAAAACAATTCTTCTGGGGCTGTAAAATGCAATTAAATTATAACACTCTCTACTATAATTTTTAAATTCACAATGGTTCAGGGGCATATGCATAACTTACATAAGATTATGAAGAAAATATTATTTTTTTAATATATACTATACATAGCATACAGATGAAGTTATGAGTAAGTAATGAAAAATGGTTCATCTGAGCACTGAGAAATCTGAAATCTGAAACAGTATGTATAAGAATAAAAGAGCCCTTGAAATCATGTCTTCTTTGTTGTTCCTGGGGAGCTGGCAGGAATTCTGCAGAGAACTGGGCTCCTCTGTGTTCTTTGCTGGGACTCAAGGCACCACCAGCCTGAAAAGAGAAGTGGTAAAGCCCAGGGTCCATTGCTTTTTCCTCCCTCTTCTTCACCCCTTCCCCAACCACCACCTCCCAACCATCCTGCAAGCCTGTGAGGAAGATCTACATTGTGCTTGGGGGAAGTTATTGTTGGTGGGGGCTTGGGGGTGAATGCCTAGAAGTAAGGTTCAGGGAAAATCCCCCAGCATCTTAACCCCTGTACACGTTTTCTCCTGCGGCTCCCTAAGCATGTCTTAGACGCCCGGGTCATGAGTTCGAGGTTTCCGCCCAAACATTCACAGACGTTTTGACTATAATCTTTATAATTTCTTTTCAGTATTTTTAGTTCCATAACCTCCTTCTACTGTTGCATCGTTCAAAGCGGTGGCAAACAGCTCACTTTTCCTATGACACTCCCAAGGTTCCTGAGGTACAGTAAGTGATCTCAAGGTCTGTTGGATGTCAGCACTCCCAGGGTTTAGCCAGAGACCTAGGAGGTATCCTAAGCCAGGCAGTGATTGCTAGCCTCGCAGTCCTTGAGGAAGATAAGTTTGACAGTGTACAGGGGGAGTCGAGTTGAGAGAAGTTCTTAAAATGGAGAACTAGGGTACTTGATTTCCTAGTAGCTCCACTCCTCAACTAGCTTAATCATACACACATTCAGGGCAGGGAAGGGTTTTTATTTTGTGTGTAGAGAGTCAGTAAGGAAAGCATTCTTGGCGCTCATTCCTGTTTGCCAAGATCAGATTACTTTTCACAGACTGGAGCTGGCTGGCAGGAGGAGGCGGGGGAAGGGGTAGTTTAAAATCTTTTATGTGTGTACACCTTGTGTGGTTGGGTGTGGAAAGCAGGAAAAGGGGGGTTTCCAAGTCGAGTGAATTTCCCATCCTATGGCTATTATCGTGCCTGTAAGGTTGGTAGGTTTTAGAAATTAGGTAGTTGGCAAATAGCTACAAAACACAATAGAGTTTCCCCCTTCCCTCCCTGCCTCATTCTCCAACTCTGCCTCTTCCTCTCTCCCAGTCTCTCATTCCTCTCTCTCTCTCTCTCTCCCTCTCTGGTTTTTCTGCTTCCACACAAACAGCTTCTTCCAGGCTGAAGTTGGGCTGGTCTCCCTGGGAGCAGCAACCACAACAATCCTGCAGTTCAAAGTTAAGCAGCAATTGCACAACTTCCAGCAACTCTCTCAGCTGGCTGCTAATGAGCTGAAAGCCAGGAACATCTGAGGAGGTGAAAAGGAAGCCTCCAGCCTCCTCCTTTAAGCTGAGACAGAGGCACCCCTCCCCAGACCCAGATCACTTTGAGATAAGGACTGTGTTATTTGCTTGCCTTCCTGGACAGACCATGGCTCCCTTTGGAAGAAATTTGCTGAAGACTCGACATAAGAACAGGTAAAAAAAAGTTAAAAAGTGTGTGTGTGTGTGTGTGTGTGTGTGTGTGTGTGTGTGTGTGTTGGACTCAGTTTCTTAAATGTAAAAGTATGGTTGTTTGCACTTCGATTCTGATGAGAACTTAAGAAAGCTCAAAGTCCAGAGGAGACAGGTCTAGAATGAAGATCCCGCATTTCAGAATATAGGTCCTGTATTGATGATGGGAGTAGCCCTCACAAGGGTCATGGGAAATCATGACTGACTTTAACTCTCTTTTCCCTTTCTCGAAATCCGAAATCCAAGTTCACTCCTAAAAATCAACATTTTCTCTTTAATCTGTCTTGAACTTTGGGGGATGGGGGTCAGAAAAGAAGAAGAGTAACAAGATATACTTTTGTCTGGTGGGTTAAGAATGTTCACATTTTGGAAAAGTTTCAAACTTTGGTAAAGCTATAAGTAGAATTTCTAGCCACTTGTTAGAGGGGTAAAAGTACACTGCTGATATAGTCTGGAAAGAATGCTTTGGTTTTCCTGCGAGTGGGGCATTCCTACAGTGTGGAAAGTTCCCAAGTGAAAACATTCCCAGGAGGAACTTTTTATGAGCTGTGTCTTTTAGAACTTTAGGGGGCTTAGGCATTTAAAGAGGAGGCAAGCAACTGAGTGTCTCAGATATTCATTATTGCCACTTTACCTTGACTTAATACATCGTGCCTGCATTAACTGTAGTTTAAATACACATACTTAAACCATAGATAAGAGAGACAGGGAAGAGAAAGAGAAATTTGAATTTGGGATAATGGGGTAATACCCATATTTATATTTCAGTGCTATTTTGTACCTCAAATATTACATTCTTATGCAAACAACCCAAGGATAATTTTGGATAGGCTTTTATATTTTAATGTATATCTTTTGGCATAGGGGCTTTCCAACTCTCCTCTCCATTATGCCTGTTTGCACTTGTCATAATTTACTTAGCATAAATTTAAATGGATACAATTACAAGGTAGGAAATGATATAATTATTTTAAAGTGTCTGCGTGATAATATAGATACAACTTTAAAGTAATTCTTCATACTTTGTTTTGTACACAAATATCTACTTGGCATATTTTACACCATTCTAAATATATCAATGATTTATTTAACTAAATGTTCTTTAAGAAACTAAAGAAAAAAAAACAATAAGAACTGTAAAGCCTTCTCAACCACTTTTATGTGCTAATGAATTGATACTATATGATAAATGTGGTATTTGTGAATTAGATATGTTTTCTTAAATGTTAAGGTAAGACTGTGTCAGTGTATTTTAAAAGCTGGTGATACATATTAAAACTAGACTCGTGTGTTAATGGTGGCAAATTATAAAATTACTCCAGAAAACCCACCCCAGCGGCTCATCCCCAATTCCATTGTTTCAATGGGAATTTTTCTAGTGCCACTACTATAGCATTTTTGCATTACTTTAAACACTATGAAATTGTGTTAAAAGTATTTTGGAAAGGTTTAGTGTTTTAGCAAGCAAGTTGTGCTTCTGACAATCAAATCTTCAAAATTGCTGTTTGTTGTGAAGTTTTATTTAAACAAATTCAAGAATTGCATCAGTGTGCTCTGAGCCTTTGGGTGCAGCCCTGTGTTGCCTTTATCAAAGTGCAGAGCCCATTTTCCTTGTGTCACTTTTGTGACTGCCCCTCTGCTCTACCATTAAGACTAGCTGCCATTCATCATACATACACAAACAAGTTTAGCATGGTATTTTAAATGCAAAGTTGTGAGGAAGAGGTAAGAACAGTAGAAAAGCTGGAAGTTTACCAGCATTTCATGTTTCTCAAATAAAATAGAAAGATGTTGCAAAGGATATTGATTTATTATGACCTCAATTTGAGGTGTATGTGCAAGCTACTCCAGTGATTGATTGCTTCCTTTGCTTATTTTTGTTAGCCTGAAGCAAGAGAGAGAGAGAGAGAGAAAGAGAGAAAGACCATGGCACAGGTCATTGACATAAATATATGAGCATCTTAGTGTTTGAAACAGAACTCAGAACTCAGTAGGTCATGTTGAACTTTGAGATAGACTCAATACAATGTGGCAATAAGGTCTTGTTAACTGGGTTTATCTGTTCACCATCTCAAGATGAATCAAAAGAGAAAATAAGTTTCATGGTTAAATTTATCCAATTCATTGACCAGGATCTACACGGTTTAAATAAACCTACCTTAACAGCTAAACAACAAATCTTTTCACTAAATGATGAGTCAATCAGCTGTTTAATAGAGAATGTGATTGATAGTATTTGTCTGATAACTAATGGGTTAATTGAAATACATTCTATTCTATGAGATACACATTTTGTATATATACCAATACATATATATACAATTTATAAAACAAAAGGATGAGTTTGAATAGCACATTTGTGTGTTATGTCATCTATAACATAATGAAGAGAATGGCTTTAGCATGGTTGCATCTTTTTAGCAGGAAGATATGCAGATTGCTGAAAAAAGTTGTTGGTGTAGACTGAGTTTCTGCTGGGGTTTGCAATTACAATATTTTGACAACGTTTACATATTAATTTTAACTTTTTGCATGTCATGTCACTTTTCTTTACTCTTAGAATAGTGCTAAATCAAACAAGACTGGCCAACATGAGATACTCCTGCTCAGAATAAGTACATAGTTGAGCGTTTTAGACATAAACACAATATAAGCGGGCCTGCAAAAGATGAGGCATAATAACTTTTAGCTAACAAGCTCTAGAGCTTGTGGAGGGTGGAGTCATATCTGTCTAGACATCATTATGTTTTCAGGCCTAGGAGAGTGTCTGGCGTGTTGTAGACCTGTAATACAGTTGTTTGTTTAGTTTTGTGCACTAAGTTATAATTTCTCCTTAACCTAGAAAGACTGTCATTACTCTATGCCTTATTTGTCATATGATGCAAGTCAGCGTTGCATAAAACTCAATACTCAAGAGAAACCCTTTAACGTTAAATGCAATGAAAACCATGAAGAGATAGCCAAATAACTTTATAGATTCAGATCCAAGGCTGTTCCTATTCTACCAGATAATTCATCACAAATGGAATGAATAATTCCATTAAAACATTTGGCAACTTTTCTTTAGAAAATTCAAAACTTCTACATGGCCCCAAAGATTTTGGGCTTTTAGCTTTAAACTTTCATATAAATGAAAGGGAATCAATCTAAAACATTTTAATGATTATAATTAGTATTAATCTGCTTAAGTGTTCTAATTGTATGTTTAATTAGAAGAGTACTGTTTTCAGAGGATCTCATTTTCCTAGGGAATGGATTGTTTATTGTGGTTCCAAAATAATAAGATAAACTGTATCAGAAACCTGAGTATTGTGTACATTTTGCTAATACGACTTTTGTTCAATGTGGCTAAAATGATAGAAAATCAAGATTGCTTTTTTTTTAAACCAACAACCTCTTCCGTTTTTTAAATTGTATGCTAATGGTTACTAAGCAACTATTTTTCTCACATAAAAGCTAAAGGAGTAAATAATGAAACACTGACCCATTTGATATTATTGTGAACTTTCAGTTATTGAATTTAAATTTTAATATACTTAGCTATTCACAGACACCACATTTCTGACTGTGATAGTCTTTGTATTGAATGATACCTTCAACTCAATAGTTATTTTCACAAATTAATGTGACTAACCAGAATTTCTAAACATTTATGAACTTTAAAGAATTGCTGATACTTCACGGTTTTGTTGGGGTATTTAGTTAGGAGACATTACTCTGTTGCTTTGTCTAAAACAGTTTCACTGTATTTTAACACCACAGTGGCTTTCAGCTTATGACCTTCCTGCCTCTGCTTCCTGAATATTGAGATAACAGGCATATGCTATTCAACCTTGTACAAGACATGATTTCTTCATGTCTTAATTCATAACATTAAAGGAGATGCAATTGGTTGTAACTTTCATCAGCTTTTATTGGAAGAAGAAAATTACCATAGAGCAGAAGGGTCTCATGCATTCCTTCTAAATAAAGATTTACTAACTACAAAGAAAAAAACACAGGCAAATACATTTTTATCATTATTTTTTTAAGACTTGTTTAAATTTCTGACTTTCACTTGAGCTGTTTCAGAAAGCATCTGCTAAAAATAAGGAAGTGTGTCAGTCTGTCATAAGCAATAAGACAGCCTTTTTATGTGAGCCTGAAATTAAGGGGTTCCAGGAAACATAATTGTAATGAATATATTGCTAGTAGTACAACTCCTCACTTTTACACAATTACTTAAAACATTGGTGTTCATGTTGCTGTGGAGTGGTTAGAATACACCTGCCTGTAATTTTTTTTCACTAAGCACACATATCATAAATGAACCCTACTATTTCATCAGAAAGAATTAGATTTTTATGGTTAGAGCCTGTCTCCTTTCTGTAACCAGAAGTGGAAAATATCAGGTACTCTTTTCTGTAACTTCAAATGGGGATTTAAACTCTTCACAAACTTGGATTGAGAAATGCCAGATTTTTGAGCTTATAAATCTTTCTCATCCTCCAAATTTCTGAAAAGATTTTCCCTGATGATACCTGTACCCTTAAGTAGTTGTTAGCTGGCAGCAGACAACCCATTAGGAACAATGACTGGAATGCTTTATCCCTGGCCAAAAAAAAAAATAGTTCAAGAGCATAGTCAGGGGTGAAACTGAGCTCCAGGTTAAAACTTGTATTGCTTGGGGGATAAAAAAAATGCCTGAGCCAACTTTGCCAGCTTAACAGTTACTGTGTAATATCTTGCAGTAGGCATCATACCAACAAGTGGAACATGCCAGTGACAGCGGCTCTTGAATGAAAATTGTTTTTAAACAATTTAATTTAGAAAATGTCTTGATTAGTTTGACTGAATAACAGAACATTTTAACTTTATTTTATGTATAGTTACAGAGGATCTGAAAACAGTTCTGAGCATTCACAGAAGTTAACTCATTTATATATATATATATATGTATATGTGTGTGTACACATATATATCAG